GTCAGGTTGGGTGTCAGGCGCCACCTCTCTGGGGACATCTCAGGCCCTCCAAGGTTTGGAGGCCTATCTCCCCCTACCACCACTTCCCCTGCCAGTGGCGGACCCCCTCAGACATGGATCTGTTAAATCTAACACATACCCATACACACATCCCTTGTCTTTGGCAACGGGTTGACTGACTCTGTCCAAAGGAGATAAAAGATGGCTGCCATTATCCATAAAGCAAGCTAATAAGCATTCCACAAAGTCATTGTTTATTCCAATAAAAAGCAAAATGCATGACTGTAGTATTTAATGCACAGCCATACAGGCCTCTTAAAACAGTTTTAACAAAAACTCCAGAAAACTAATGGCCATGGCCCAAAACAAGTGTATCAACAAAGACATGAAGTTTTCTTTTTATGCTTCAATTTCTGAAGAGAAATAACAAAAAATGTAAATAATTAGTGAACTGTAAAGCTGCTGTTTTATACAATTTTGTTACATTTGTGTTCAGTCTTGCAAACTAAGTTCATCAACCACACACTGACGCCTCATAGACAGATGTGAGAGTGGTAATGATCTTCTGATCAAACTGACCTATGAGCTACACCAGCATGTACTGAGACAAAAAAGGACTCACACACCCAGATTTTAAAAGGGAAACCACCTTACTGTAATGTCAATACTTGAAAATTAATTAAAAAACTGTGTGAATTGTGTGAACTCGTTACATAAACAAAAGACTTTAAGTTTCACCAGTGGCCACCTGTCTTCCACCTACTAGTAGAGACAGTCCTGGTTACCAGAAACATGAAGATCATAAATCTGCCATGGTTCACCAGCTTGAGCTTGTTTAAGACAACAATGCCATGAGCTAGATCATTACTGGCTTATAGACCAACTCAATTACACTTCATCTTGACAGTTCTGACAGACTTCAGCTTCTACTTGTGTGTACATTTGTAAGCAGCTGCCAAGAAAACAACAGCAGGATGCAGTCGGGCACAACAGCATGTGGGAGTCTAAATGAGTTTCTTTTATAAAGCTTCTTTATAAAGATAAGGGTCTGTGGTTAACTATCACTCTATAGTGGGAGTGTTAAGTGTGCTGTATGGAAGAAGAGCACACTGTCATATTATATGTTGCATAATGGTACTTAACTGCTCCACCGCTACAACCATCATGCCATCTCTAACCCTTAGATACATTTGCACTTAGGTGCATGTTTGCATGTGTGCACAGCACCAAGTGCGTGATTACCACTGAGCAGGAGATGAAGAACACTTTGAATGCTAATACACTTCTGCTTGGTCCAAAGCTGCAGTCCACAAGGACAGAGAAAGCATTTCAAGTGTAACTGTTTAAGGTGCTGTCTCACAAAGGCGGCAGCAGCAGCAGCAGCAGCAGCAGCTGGCTTTCTGGACGACATTAATAAGCTGCTGCAGGTAATAACTTCAGCGGGTAAAGGCAAATGCCGCTGTGCTGAAAAATTCATATTTGCCCATGTTACCCTGATTTGTTGCTTAATAACATTACAGATGTTCACTTGATTCTTTTCATCCAGATATCCAAACACTGAATGGAACCGTTCATTGCAGTTCAGCTCTGCCTGCGCCACAGAGCCCATCTTCCTCAGCTCTCATTACTTTGAAAGACATAGAAGGGCTTTAGGTGCTGCTGGCTTTAACATTCAGTTTGGCCTCACAGTCCAGTCAAATTGAGGGTATTTAACCTTCAGCCAGCAAAGACAGCCTAAGTCAATTCTATCATTTACAACAAGAGACTGACTTCTTGTAGAGACATTAAATTATTGTTTTACTTTACAGTAAATATGGCACAGCTGACAAACTAAACATAAACTTGGCCTTTTCTTCTCCCCTGTGTTATGAGGGGGAATACCATTGCTTTAAATACTTTGTTAATACATAGGTACACATGGGAGTACTTACGCACTAGCCCAGATGGTGGACCCTCTAATTTGAAATCCAAGGGTATAATTAAGAGACAAAAAAATTAAAAAGGAAAGCATGAGGATTTGCTGCTTCGACATGAAACGCGGCACAAATTACAGCAAGGAGAAGCTGGTTAGTGCGGTCATCATTATTAGATATTCACATTCAAACAAAATAGTCTCAGAGCAGGCGGCTCTCACTGGGGATCCGGCTGTTACTTTGAAGTGCAGCAGATAGACGCAAGCGTACCCTTTGCGTATTAATCTGAACTTGATGGCAAATTAAACGGGTGATATCAGATGACTTAGCGGACGGTTTCAAGTTCATTCCGGGGAGAACCCGTATTTGCACGGTTCAATTAAACAGCCAGCAGGCCTCCTCTGGGGATATGATGTTGTGAATGAAAAATGTTTTATTTCTGCAAGAAAAGCTGAAAATGCAATCAGTTCAAATGTATTCGTTGAACTTTGAGGGGCTGATGTAAAAGAGGTAAATAAAAATAGAGCCGGATGTGTTGGAAAGTGGATTGTGTGGCAGCTGCAGGTTTGTCTTATTTTAATGTAATCAGGGAAACTCGCCGTTTCCTTGATTACATTAAAACAATGTCTGTAAAACAATATAATAAAGGCGACCTGTGGTCCGTAAACGTCATGGTACGAATGTGTCCCGGACACCTTACAGTTAGGAGCACAAGTGTTTATCTTAGTACGTGTGGAAGTGACGCCTGATCGTCAGACCAGACACTTCACTCCAGAGCACCACTCTCCTCCCTGCAGCCGAAAAATCAAAACAATTTCCCTGTGAGCTTTGGCTGCTCGGAGGGAAACTGTAAACCTCTCAATTAAATACCTCATGCCGTTTGGGAAACAATGCCGTAGTGGGATTTTTACCAAGGCGATTAACTATGAATGAAGTTACTGCTAACTGCAAGATGTGGGATAGCGAAACAAATACCAAGAGTATCATGAGCATATTTAGGACTGCTGCACTTTTTAGTGCGAGTTGTGCTGTTTGTTTGGTTTTTCTCTTTAAAGAAGAGAAGCGCTTGTGCGTCGCGCTAAAGAGGAACTTTGGAGACGCAAACCCGTTGCAAGGAAAAGGCGAAGAGAAAAGTTTGACTTACCGGTGTCGAAATCATTAAAAGCCGCGGAAGAAATAAAGCCAGCGAGAAGCAGAGCAGAGGTGACGGTCCAGGAATCCATCGTGTGATTAAAGAGTCTGAATTCGCTCTCAGGTGAAGTGCAGCCTGACGGACGGGTGCGCAGAGCGGCAGGCTGCTGGACCGACTGACTGACTGGCTGGCTGACTTGCTGCTTGTCTGTCTGTGTCTGTGCAGGAGTCGCGCTTTGGCCGGTGTTAAAAAGTCCCTGAACTTCAAGGCAGGTCCTAGAGCTACTACTACACTGACACCACTACGACGAGACCAGATAGTAGAAAACAGGGATCCTATTTCCAACCCATGTGACAGGAAATAGGGCCAATGGATTCAACCTGCAGCACTGGGAAAGCAGCAGAAAGAAAAGAGGAGGAGGGAGAGAGGGTGGCGCGATGGGGTTTTAAAGGTGGTCTCTGTGGTGCAATGAACAGCAGGTCCGCAAAGTTAAAAATCACATCACATCAAAGCATAATAATCACAACTGACCGAAAACCAAGTTTAATATTACAGCTAAACTAAAACAATATAATAAATCAGTATCCAATACAATCACAACGACAATGAAGCATGTTTTAGGTCAACACAGGCAGAGTAGCGACACAGCTGGGGCTCAATACTACCATAAAGCAGGGCAGTTGATGGAAAACATGCTATAAGACTATAAGAAACACATTATAACCATTCTGAAATATTATTTTGTCTGTTTTTATGATGGAGTCTAAATATAACTAATGGTCCACTGTGTTTGGAAACCATGCCCTCTCATGCACTGTGTTAAACAAACGACAAGGAGAGGCCAAACATCCTTCTAATATAAGAAAATATGGTCAAAAGTGTGGAAAAGATGAAAAGTGAGTAAAGCCATAGTTTAGTATAGTCTCACATCTTAACACAAACGAGATTAACTGGAGGAATGAAGCTGGGGAAACTACTTGTTAAGTATTTCTTGGAAGAAATTACTTTTTTTGGTTCTTGCGGCGGGATTTCTGATCAAAAAAACGTAATAAATCACAAAACATTTAAGGCCTATATTTATTTATATATTTATCTGCGTTTTGCTTTATTTATCATTCATGTGAAAACCTTTAATTGTTCGTAAAGAAAACACAACTATCACAATCTAAAATCGGAAAGTCAGATCCTAATTCTACGGTTCCTCTTTTGCATATCTCCACCGAAGCTTGTCCAGCCCTATTCACTAATAGAAACAGGTGCACTGAGTGTACAAGCCCACTGTGAGCACTTCTCGGCCCTTTATTATTACATTACAGTCAGTCAGTCTGACCTCGTGAGAAACAGCACCCTCACGTGTTTAACAGCAATCACCATGAAGCACTGAGAACACGCTTTCAAGCCCAAACAGCAGCCTGTTAGATTAAAAATAGAATATCCTGTATGATTCCGCCATGCTGAAAGGGGGGGAGGGAAAGCCCAACATTTATTTGGCCAAAAAAGACTGGGTTGAGAAGGGGTGTTCTGGGAAAGTAATCTAGCATGACGTGTGCCCTTTGGACAAATGCGACTGTGTGGCCTTGAGATGCTTGCTGGTAAAAGCTTAACTTGTTTTAAATTCAAAGACTGGGACTGTTTAGGAGAAAGGAAGTTCTTAGAATTTAACTACGTTGGACGTTTGCTATGACTGTGACTTTTTTGTTTGTTTGTTTGAATTGCATTACTGTAGAACAGCCAGCTTTTAGTCTGACATATGTAAGGAATATTATATCTAAACCTAAACCTAAAATATTCACCTGTGACAGTCGAACTCAAGTACTGTACACGTCTGCTACTTTATACTTACTCTATAGTCTTAATTATTCCAGTCAATTAACAAAATGTGTAGCTATCTTCTGACTAATTAATGTACTATTGTGTTCATCCATAACCACCGATTTTGAATGTCTTGAGAAGCAAAATGTGAAAGGAGTTAACATTGTAGGACAGAAAAGTTTGTAGCTTTTCAATACCCTTCAAACCTGTAGAGCCTTTATCAGCACCAGCCTCCATTTAGAATTTGCTATAGCAGTTTCTGAGGAGGAAGTTTGGACCATTCCTCGTGAAACTGTTACAGTTCATTAAGATTTGTTGGATGTCTAGACTGAACAGCCCTCTTCTGACCACACCATTTCAACTGGGGTAATGCCAGGACTCTCACTTAAGCCTTAAAAAACACATTTTTTCTTCTTTGGAACTATTCATCTGTTTATTTCCTTTAAATTGTTGCATCATCCAACCGTTCATGAACTTACTGCTGCCCTGAAATTGTCGTTATGCAGTTTCTGTTTCTCTCTATCTCCTCTTGCTTGAGAAGTTCAGATTTGTTAGACCCTATATGGATTTACTTACACTCACCTCTGCAGCTCGCATTTCCAACCTAGCCTCATTTTCTTAACTAAAACACATGACCAGGTTCACTAAAATCTTCCTCTGGCTTTTATTGTTATTATTACTCCAAATGTCCTTAAAGACATGACAGCTGTTTTTGTGCTGTCAGTTCAGCCAGATAGTATTTATTTACAATTTAGGGCTTAGATAATATCAGATGGCAATTTCTTTGGAATGCCAGTGAGGCCATAAACAGTTTTTTCTGCAATTATGTGGACAAAATTGTGTTTATTATTTTAAATATGGTGTGTTATGTGTTTATCCTCACACAAACAGATTTTTTGCCAGTGGGATAAAAGAAAACATCCTGTCCATGTGAAAATGAATGTGAATTGGCGCTATCAGTCTGAGATGCTGTGCAGTTTAAGTAGCAAGGCTTCCTTTGTCTTCTTTGTATCTGTGTGTGTGTGTGTGTGCGTGCATGTGAGTCCATATGTCTGATTGCATGCTGGGCTTGTCTGTACACGCTGCCCGGCCACATTCCTTGTGGTCTGCTGGAGTTACTGTAATTCTGTTCTCCCTTTTTGCTGTCTTCAGAAATAAGCTGGCACTTCCACACATCTCATTCACACTTATTTATTTAGTTATCATCCATATTTTTGGCATTTTGCCCTTTAGGAATTCTGATTGTTTTCCTTTAGGTACGTTTCTTCCAGTATCACGTGTGTGGATTTTTAGCATGGGTGGCTGCAGCAGAGCCCCTCACCCTGCTATGTGTCCTGACTGTTGAGTTATACAGGATGGGGGCTGGAGGTCACAGCAAGAATAATCCACTGAGATGTATTAGAAAGTACTTCAGCATCCCTGACCTGCCTGCCAATGCGAAGTTATGCATAGCTGAATAAGAAGTTGGCCAAGATGCTTTGAATTCACAAATTCGGGGCCAAGACTATGTCATGTCCTTGTTCTCTCTTGGGTAAACACGAGTGCCTAGCCCTGAATCTTAATGTCACATTTCTTTCTTTTGTAGCTGAATATTATTTCTCCATCTAGGCTTTTGCTCTTGGCATTTCAGAGAACCATATTATATAGAGCCCCTGGGTCACAAATGGCCCATACAGAGTTTGCTGGTTCTCTGACATTTCTGCTGCTACCTAAAGTTTGATGTTCCGATTTCTTGAGATAGTGAGCAGCACAGTGTCATTGTGGTTAGCACTGTTGCCTCACAGCAAGAAGGTCCTGAGTTCAATTCCACCATCAGATGTGTGGAGTTTGCATGTTCTCCCCGTGTTTGCGTGGGTTCTCCCCGGGTACTCTGGCTTCCTCCCACAGTCCAAAAACATGCAGTTTATTGGAAACTCTAAATTGCCCATAGGTGTGGGTGCGAATGGTTGTCTATGTGTTAGCCCTGCGCCAGACTGGCGACCTGTCCACAGTCTACCCCGCCTCTCGCCCTAAGACGACTGGGATAGGCTCCAGCACCCCTGCGACTCTGATAAGCGAATGGATGGATTGTTTTGATTACCATAATTGTAATTCAACCAATCACATTAGTAATAACAAAATCACTGGTCTGTATTGTATCTTTGGATTGTTTCTTGGGTGTTGAGAACATTTAAAGATGATCAGATGAGGCTATTACCAAAATAATCAAGACTATCACTAAAAGGAATTATCAGGTATAAAAATGATCCGGGAAAGTTGAAAATGGTTAAAGGGGGCACTAACCAGAGTGATTTATATTATTATTGCTTGGATCACACATTATTGTTGCAATAGGACTTTTTTCAACACCCACGCCAGAAAAATCACAAGAATACCTGAACTATCTGTATATCCATAACTAAAGCTATCTCCTAAGAAAGAAAACTTGAATGTAATTTGATGGATTAATCTTAAAAACTAGCACATCCCAGCAGGGACAGGCAACACTTCTGAGGCTAAAATTAAGGAGAACTACTGGGACTTGCGTCTCGCACCCTTATGAACAAAAACTCCTCCGTTTTTTTCTTTTTGGCTGCAACGTGACAAGAAGAAAGATATTTTTTCTCCCTCTTTGACATCAACACTGAGTCACTGTTTGCTGTCGGGATCATTCTCCTCAGTGCCAAAATAATCTCTGCCATCGCCTGGCTCATTACACTAATTAAAAACAAAACACCCTGGCACACACATTGACGCACAACTCCTTTTGTCTAGTCCTATGGGGGACACAGTGAGTCAATGCGATTACTCAACCAAAGCATCTGGTTGTTGTTTGAAGTCTGTGCGACCTGGCCAACACCCCCCCCCTCCCCCCTCCCCACATGGCCACATCAGTGTCTATATGATCCACATCATTAGTGGTTGCACACACACAACACAACACACATTACTGTGGCACTCTATGACCCCAGCAAAGATCCGCCAAAGTGGGCTCTCTTTGACAAATGACTGCCTCTGGCCTTTTCTGAACCAGTAACGACTCCCCAACCACCATCTTCTCTCAACTCTCATGCCCTGCGTACACACCTGTACAGGCCCCTGAGCTTACCCGTGTTCAAAGCCAAGATAAAAGCCACTGTTTATATCCAGCCACCTGCATATAACCATCAGCCGCTGTAGCAGCGCGGCCCCTCCTCCTCCGCCTCTCTTCACTGACACACACAGCAGTCATCCATCTTGCTCAGCCTCCCAGGTCTCTAATTAGTCTCCGGGTGGGTGACACCCTCTGGAATGTTTATTGTAACATCTTTCAGCTATATCTGCTTTAAAAGAGAGACAAAAAGAGGAGGAGAAGAAAAAACAGTCATAGAAGCAGAGAAAGAAAGACGGAACAGGTTTCTATAACATAACATACAAATTAAATTATATTCATTTATTTCATTTTACATATATAATTTGGGTTAATAGACTCATTCTTATATAGCACTTTTCAACTTTCAACTCATTCACACATTCATAAAAGCATTTTTTATGCCTAAGTTCTTTTCTGTCTGCATCTGAGGGCAACTTGGGGTTCATCATTTCACCCAAGAA